TTCTACCACTGAGCCACCTTCCCAGCCCCACCCTGAGAATATTCTTAACTGAGCATCAGAAAATCATGCCGGCACACTTGTGTGGACAAAGTCTGTCATCATATATCTGGAGTAGCAAAGTGGATACCAGGAAATCACTATGCTCATTTCATTTAGCACTCTGGTTCCATTAATACTAGAGCTACAGGAGTTTAAACCAGCTAATGGCAATCTGAGCATCATCAAGAAAACACATGATATAATCTGCAAGTGTAAGTACAGAGCTTTACTTACAAAATGCAATCTAGAGGCTGGGAAGGTGGCTGAGTGGTAGAACGCTTGCCTTGCATGCATGAGGCCCTGGGTTCAATTCCTCAGCACCACGTAAGCTGGAATTGGTGCTGTGGCTCAAGTGGTAGAGTGCTATCCTTGAGCTGAGGAGCTCAGGGACAGCGCCCAGGCCCAGAGTTCAGGCCTCACAACGACCAAAAAAGAAAAATGTACTCTAACCATTTTGGATGGAAGGTTAATTTCTTTACTTAAACTGTGCTTATTATAGAACATATTTTTAGCTGGATTCCAAGGTTACAAAAAATGGGAGTATTAATTTGTCTAGTTCCAAATTTCCATGAGATAAAAACCAACAGACGTAAATATGTTTCTGTTACATGGATCTTGCTGGGACCAGTCAGGTGTGTGTCTTCACAAAGATGATAGCTTGTAATGAATGAATAATATCTCAACTAATGCCTTATTATGGAGGAATTCTATCTTAATTATATTTTTCAGATAGTAACAATATTTATTGTTACTGTACAGAGCAACTCTGTAAAGACAATTGCACGTGGGAGTGGAGAAATAGAAGGTTACTCAAAAAACCAACTTCATAAATATATGTTTTGATTAATTTCAGTGCTTTATTCAGTTTCTTAATATACTCTGAGCACCATAAAGTATTGTATATGTTTTTCACTTAGACTTTACAACAGTCAGTTGGACAGGTATTGTAATTATATATATATATTTAATATATAATATACAACTCTCTAATATGGCAGCGTCCTTAATCAGATCAATTAACCAGAGTCCTAACATAGTCTATCTTAACCCTTTCTCTTCTAGTGTTTAATTGGGTGTAAATTAAAAGGGAAATAAGCCTTTTATGAAATGGCTTTTACTCCAACTTCTCAGAAATCTCTGCATGACAAAATGTTCCAGGATTTTTCCAGGAAAAGAACTTCACAATTGAAAGATTTTAATTAAAACCAGGAAGGCGAAATGAAAGGAGATATTGGGAAATACCCAAGTTCTTTCATAATTAGAGCTAATAGAGCATTTCTTCTTGGGATAAGAGAAGTATTGTTATGCTCTTGAATACATTCATGTGCATCTGGCTCTTAAGACTCCAAAGTGCTCTTTCAAAATGTATTTCATGTTCAACATACCATTCAGACTCTCATCATTCAATCTGAAGGAACTTGGACTTATTTAGAGAGACAGAAAGCTTCCGTAATGTGTTTTCTTGTGACTGACTCATTAACAATAAAAGCTTCTTTTCATACATATTTTTCCATAATGCTTATAATTGTTTCTTGTTCAATTGTATGCATGTTAGGGACACACATGTATCAAGTCATTGCATATGATACTACATTCTGTTATTTAGGCTTCATTTTTAGCACAACAGAGCTTCTTCACTGATGATGACCTAGTATGATGGCCAAATATATAGTAAAAAGTTAGCCTTTCCCTACTTCTTGACTCAGAAGAGACCTCTGCTATTTGTAAAGCTCTCAGCCACTCTTTCTACACGTTCAACTTAGACTCACTGCGTATTGGCCCTTTAGTGACCCTGATTGTTTCTTCTACTTATATATGCACAGGTTTCCAGGTGTCACTTCTCTATCTTTGACTTCTGTCTCATTTTAGATCTATTTTTCCATCTACAAAAAAAAGTTCAAGGAAGAGGTATGGCATTGCCTGTAAATTATAAGAAATTTTCTTCTGATTGCTTTTTTTAAGTCTTTTATTTCCTTTTGGCACACTAATGGAAAAATGTTGAAATTGTTTTTGAAAATTATTTTCTAAAGTTCTTTAATGTTACTTATGTTAAATTTACAATTTCAGGTTCATAGACTGTAATTTTATATGAGGTTAATGATCTGGAAAAAATCAAATACAACATTAAAGTAAACATGGCTAATTTTTACTAGTCTTGGATATAGTTATTCAAAAAATGAACATTCTCCACATCACAATGTACTATGTGTTTCTTTTGAAGAAACCCAGAAAGTTGTGCAGGATACTATCACCTAAGAGTTGAATGTATTTTCCAAAGTTGATTCAGATGTATACTCTTACACCAGATCCGTTTGGTGGTACTGGCGTTTGATTTCAGGGCCTCAGCCTTGGTAAACAGGAGCTCTACCAGTTATGCTACATTTTTATTTTTTTATTTTTATTTAAAAAAATTTCTTTTGGTCGTGGGACTTGAACTCTGGGCCTGAGCGCTGTCCCTCAGCTCTTTAGCTCAAGGCTCATGCTCTAACACCTGAGCTACAGCTCAGCATGTATAATTTTCAATTATACGTGTGTTAAGTGAAATCAAGTTCTAAAAACATAATATATTAAGATTTGTCAACATTAATTATGCAATTTTAGGAACATAAATTTTATGTATTGAATATTTCAGCACATTGCTGATTCTTACCATAATGTATGTAGTATGGGAGGAAATATTATATATCCTAAGTGAGTCCTATTATTATTATTTTTATTATTTTACTGGTACTGGGACTTGAAATCAGAGCCTGGGCACTCTCCTTTAGCTTTGTTTGCTCAAAGTTAACATTCTACCAGTTGAACCACAGTTTTACTTTTGCCTATTTGGTGGTTAATTGAAGATAAGGGTCTCATGGACTTTCCTGCCTGGGCTGGCTTTTGATGGAGAGCTCAGATCTCAGCCTTCTGAATAGCCAGAATTATAACACTGAGTCAATATTGCCCAGCAAGGCTTATTATTAAAAATCATCTTTCATCTCATCATATACTATACACAGATAGAGTAATCGATTGAAGGCAACACACTACGTGACTGATAAAATTCATCTAGTACTGTGGATCTAAAAAGAATACAAATGTTATACCTCAGATGCATCGTTTTCTTCTTGTAGTTCAACAGTCTGTTGAAATGTTAGTTGAGATATTTTAATTTTCTCAACCTCTTTCTGCTTTTCTTTTTCATAGATCATGATAAGTATTCCCAAGAATAAACTTGCCATATAAAAGGCAAACCAAAAACTGACCACAACAAAAAACATCATGTAGACCTTCCCAGAAGCATAAAGGATCTAAGGAGAAATGGAACACAGAAAAATAAAGGGAAATGTTACTTAGTCTATATTCTCCTATTTAAAAATAAAGAATGGAATTCTGTTAGGAAAATAATTTGTTCATGAGTGTAATCTAATTACAAGATTGCCTAAATGCTGGATGCAGGAATAAAATGAAAACTAGGTTAACTTTAGACATACACTTATGCATAAAATACATGCTACAGAACCAAGGGATAAAAGTGGTAATTGATGAGTTCGTTGTGAACATTTGACTTCTATGTTTTCATTAACAGAGAAAATACACCGACTGAGAAGTTAAACTGTTTGAATATGGAAAATCATTTTCTATTTTGGAGAAGTTTTTTTTTAATGGTCTAGTTTTTTTTGTTTTTTTTTTTTTTTTTTGCTTTTATTGTAAAATACCGTATAGAGGGTTACAATTACATGAGCAAGGTAATGAGTAAATTTCTTATCAAGCATTGTTGCCTCCTCCTTTGTTTTCCCTTACCACTCTTCCCATCTCCCCCCCCTCCCCTGCCCACTCCATCACCACCCTGTCCCCCCTCCCCGGCCAGAGTTTTAAAGTTCGTTTTTAGACATAATGTCTTGTATGTCTCATTGTTGCAATGGGTCCACCTGTATCCTTATTTAAACATTTTTTCCCTTTCCCTCCCCAAATTATACCATCAAATACAGTGAAAACAGGGGTTATACCGTGGGGGAGGGACATACAAAGTTAACAAAGAAATCATCTTATAAATATATTAGAAACAATAGCAAGAAAGAAAAACTATTTGAGTTCTTATCTTGGGGTTCATTTCGCCTAACACCAACTTAACTGACTGTTTCTGCTTGTCTCAGACATACACTAGTTATTGTAAATAAGGGAAACCATGGGACCTATGTTTCTCTGGGCCTGGCTTACTTCACTTAACATAATTTTTTTCCAAGTCTTTCCATTTCCTAACAAATGGGGCAATGCCATTCATTCTGATGGAGGCATAGAATTGCATTGTGTATATATACCATATTTTCTTGATCCATTCATCTACTGAGGAGCATCTGGATTGGTTCCATATCTTAGCTATGGTATATAATGCTGCAATAAACATAGTTGTGCTGGTGGCTTTAGTGTGGTCTTGTTTGTGGTTATTCGGGTAAATACCCAAAAGTGGGATTGCTGGGTCATAGGGGAGTTCTATGTGGAGTCTTTTGAGGAACCTCTATACTGCTTTCCAAAGTGGTTGAACAAGTTTATACTCCCACCAACAATGCAGTAAGTTTCCCATCTGTCCACATCCCCTCCAGAATCTGTTGTTATTAGAGTTCTTGATTATAGCCATTCTAACTGGGGTGAGTCTGTATCTCAATGTTAATTTGATTTTCATTTCTTTTATAGCTAGGGAGGTTGAACATTTCTTCATGTGTCTATGGCCATCCAGAGAAACTTCTCTAAAGAGGAAAAAAGGATTTTGGAGAGTTGTTACTGTAGAAACATTATTCAAGTCAAGGGATATGGTAGATGTTGTTCCTCTGATCATGAATTTATAGAAAAATCACTACTTCAAAATCAGGACTACATAATAATGGAAGCAAGACTATTTCAAAGCCTGCCAGAGTATCTATGCTTTGACTTAAGCTCTTTGGAGAAATTAAGTGAAAAATTAATCAGAGTAGTATGGTTTATATGAAATCATCAAGGCAAGGATTATTGATGGAGAGAAAACTCTAAAAGTGATAAAAATCATATGCTTTTTTTTTTTGGTTGGTCGTGGGGCTTGAACTCTGGGCCTGGGAAAATCATATGCTTTTGAAATGAGCTTGTCATAAATGACTAGCTTTAATTTCCTAATAATGCCCTAAGAAGAATCAGAATATTAAAAATGTAGGCAATTAATAAATAGAAACAGCACAGGTACAAAATATTATGCCATGATTTATGATTATTGACTAAAATTAGGTTCCTAAAATTTAAAGAAAACGTGGAAATAGTTTTAATTTTGAAACATCTTTTTGAAACAACAGGAAAGTATTATCTATACAAATGTGGGTAGATAAAATTAAGAATGCATATAGAGTAATAAGAAGTTTGAACATTCAGTCAGAAATCAATATTATTAACTTAGACCATACTTACCATTAGCAGCATTTTCAATATTGCCTAGTATCCCAGAAAAACAGCTATTTAGGTTTTGAGCTAGCTATTATTTACACAAATCATTCACTGATCAGGATTATGTGTTATAGTGTACACTGTGAACATACTCATTAATAAATACCTGCAGTTATTACTTCATCTTCATATAGGGAAAATAATTCCTAAGACTTTAAAGTAATGAGGAATGCTCTATCCACTATGCAATGCCAGGGTAGATTAAAATTGCTTTATTTTTGTTTTTAAACATATATTTGTTTGTTTGAGACAAAACTTCATTAGTAGTTCAGGCTGGCTTTGACTTTGCAAACTGCCTGCCTGAACTTCTTTTGGGGTTACATGAAGCATCAGTTATACTATTAGAAATATTAACTGTATTATTTTTTTAAAGTCTGAGCTGTGTATCATTAACTCACACCTGCAATTCTAGCTACTCATGAGATTGCAATGTGAGGATCAATGCTCAAGAGAGCCCTCTCAGTCTATGCGACTTTTATCTCCAGATAACTACCAAAAACCCCAGAAGTGTTGTGGATCAAGTGATAGAGCACTAATCTTGAACAAGGAAAAAAGCTGGAGGATAGCATCTAGGCCCTGAATTCAAGCTCTAGGATTAGAACTCACACACACACACACACACACACACACACACACACACACCAAAAACAAACATAAAAAATAAGCTTGTTCTATGAGGATTAACAAATGTTTTCTACCCATGGTGTATCAAGAATACTTGGATCCAATAAATATTAGTGAATGATTTGAAGATAAATTTCTTCAAAACATAAGGAAAATCTCAAGGAGAACACTTAACCTAGAAACATGACAGAAGAATACTTGAATTTAGGCAGAGGACACCAACATTGTAATAAAAATGTAAGAGAAAAGTTCCTTTAGGAAACAGCAAGCCATTAATATACTCATGGGAAGCAGAGTATATAATCTAGAAAACAGTAAGAAAAACATCCAGGCTTCTAAAACACATCTTAGAGGGTATCAAACTTCTTCTCATAAATACTAGAAACCACTATACTATTTTTACAAGTGAATGAGATTATTTTAGTAATAAGCACAGATTCTCTGTGTTCTTACCTGGTGATAAAGTGCTTCAGGATAATCCTGGGTCATTAATCGAAATAGTGCAAAGAAAGCCCAACCAAAATTATCAAAATTTGTGTAGCCATGATCAGGATTTATGCCTTCTTTCACACACACATATCCTTCAGGGCACTGACTAAAAAAGACAAAGGAAAAAAATAGCCTGCTTACTGTTAAATGATTTGCAGATTATGGCCAAATCATCACATATGTTCATGAAAAATAATGTAAAGCTCTAACCCAGCAACTGAGTTAGATTTTTAGGTTGTACACATGAATAGCATCCATTAAGGCAAAATAGAAGCATTTGAAATGATTTTTGCAACTTTTTTGAGGGAGATGTTGACTTATTTACTTTAGTGGATATGAATCATATATATTTATCATCTACATCATAGTGGTCTGAAAGAAAGAAATATCTATTAGAAATGGATAAATTAAGGTGATTAAGATATGAATAGCTCATATACCTTTCTTTTGATGGTGAAAACACTTAAAATCTGCCACCGTATCACTTTAAAAACACATGATATAATACATTGTTATTAATTATAGTTTGGCTGTTCAAAAATAAAACTGAAAAGGTTAACATGTTTCTCAATGGTAGAATGCTTACCAAGGGATTCGGTTTGATTCCAGTGATGGGACACAAAAGAAAGAAAGAATCTAATAATGATGGGAAATGCCAAAAAGAAAGAAATGGGAAATATCTGAAAACTGTATTGATAAAAATAAAATTCTAAAAGTTGAGGATTTAATTTTCAAATGATCTCACTTCAAACTCTTAGATCTCATACTTTAAGGGACAGAAAACATCACTTCAATAATTTATAAGTAGTGTTTGCACTTGAGGAGAAAGATCAAATTAAATATTTATTTCTTTTCCTTTAATGGAGTTTTAATACTTTTATCAATGGAGGGGGTTTGCGTGATGTGGTAGGTTATTACATTAGTGGCCCAATAAATTATACTTCCTCCTGTCCAAGCCTTTGTGTAGAGCCTTCCACATTATTTTGAGTTTGGTCACGTCAATCATGTATTTTAGACAATGGTTAATGGAAAATACATAGATTTAAAAAGCACTTGTGCACTGAATTTTTAAAGTGCTGACCTGTAAAATCTGATCAACTACATTTTTTTGTTACATCAAGGCAATAACTTTGGGAATAATTTTCCACACTACAAAAATGACTACTTGGTAACCACTGAATGATGTTTTCTTCTTGTCTAGGAAAGAATCGCTGTCTACTGAGTACTCAGAGATCAGATACTTTTGAAATGCTTTTCAGGACATATTTGAGTTGAAGATTTGCGTAAAAAGATAGTTGAAAAGAGGATACTACAATTCATGAGTTGGAATTGAGAATACAATGGAAGCCTAACAGTAACTGGATAAAAATGACTTGGTTTTGAGAAATGAATTTCTCTTCTTTAGAAGCCATGCATTCTCTGCAATTTTATTGTTTCCCTAAGAAAAATTAAAATACTTCACATATTAAAATATGTTTGTTGATAAGATGAGATAATGCAATCAACTGAGACCAATGGTCAAGGTAGTAAATATTCAGTCAGTACTATAATATCTGATGGATGATATTGACTTGGTAGGGGATAAAAACACCACTTACCCAGCATCTGTTCTGTTGCCACAAAGGAGAGCATACCTGTCTCCTTCCATATAGTAAAAGTGCTCAGTTTCTGAAAAACAGGAAAGAAATTATGTTCCTCACTTAATCTCAAATTAGCAACATCAAGTGGACTTGAATCTCCACAGATGATTAACCAATATTGTATTGAGGAATATTCCATGGATTCCTAGCTTCTTAGAGCTTTTATCATAAAGGGCTATTAGATTATGTCAAAAGCTTTTCTGCATCTATTGAGATGATCATGTGGTTCTTGTGTTGTTCCCATTGATTTACATATATTGAACCAGCTTTGCATCTATAGGATGAATTTTGTTTGATCATAGTGTATGATTTTGTTTTGAGTTAGTGGTTGAATTCAATTGGCTAGAATTGTATTAAGAAGTTTTGAATCGATGATGCACTGATGACAAAGTGAGGGATCTATAGTTCTCTTTTTGTGATTTGTCCCTATCTGGTTTGGGGATGAGTGCAATGCTGGCTTCATAGAATCATAGAATGAGTTTGGGAGTGATTTTTCCTTTCTATTTCATTGAATGGTTTAAAGGGTTTAAAGAATTAGGCTTTAAATCCATCTGATCCTGGGATTTTCTTCAATGGGAGACATTTTATTGCCATCACAATTTCCTTACTTGTTATGGGTCTATATAATTGGCTTAACTCTTCTTGGTTCAGTTTGGGTTCAGTTCAATGTTCTCTGTGAATGTATCCATTTCTGCAGATTCTCCAGTTTTTTGGCCTAAAGGTTTGCAAAGTATTCCTTTATGATATTCTGAATTTTGCTTGTTTCTGTTGTGATGCTAAATGTTTTTACTCTAATTTTATTTACTTGGGTGAGTTCTCTTTTTTCAAAAGACTAAGTCAAAGCCCATCAAATTAAGAACCAGGGAATGGGTACTTGCAAGGGAGGAGGGGAAGAATGTAGGCAACAATTCTTTGTATGTGCCACAGAACTGAGAATTACAAGGGAAGGTATGGATTGAGGTGGGGGGTGAAAATGTTCAAGTGGTGACACAGATCAAGACGCACTGTATGCAAAAAAATTCAACACATAACCTACAATTAAGATAAGTAAAGGAAGGGATGTGTTGTGAGGGGTTGGTGAAAGTGTTAAAAGGAGTAACATTGATCAAGATGAATTGTATTCATAAACTTCTTTAGTGAATGGCAATTCCTTTGTTCAACTACTTTAATTTAAATGCTTAAAAAAGCACACAAACCTCACTTTCTAGAGCTAAAAAGAAATAAATTAATGACTTGGCTTTTTTTTTGCCTCTTATATGATGTATATGCCTTTGGAAATCTAGAGAAAAGCCTTTGGGAATCACTACCTTCTAACTGACAATGCTCAGCAGAAGGAGAAAATCCCTTTCAAAATTAATGTTCGGGGAAATGAATAAAATACCAAGGGATGACAAGACTTCTCAAATTTAAAAAATTGTTAGATAACAAAGAGTGAAGCAATGAAAGAGTGATACTCATTAGACACTATGTTGTAAGTGAACTTTACAATTGGGGAGGTGGAATCGACAGAAAATGAGGGAGGGGGTAACACTATTCAAACTTACCTTATGTGACTAACCTCTCTGTACATCACCTTTACAATAAAATTGTTAATGAAAATTTTCAAATAATATCTACATTGTTTGCAAGTAGGGGTACTCTTTTGAATACATATTCCAGATGACATACTTGAAGAAAAAGGTTACATTTTCTGTTCTCTGGGTTTAATTTAGATTCTTTTCCTAAAGCAAAAGTGATTCTTCTTCATTGGTCATCCAATGACAATTATTTGTTCTGATGTCACCTAATTCCAGCCATGACTTTTGCTAACATTGTCATAATTCACAAAATCTCTCCAAATAACTTAAAATGATGCCAATGAAAATGTAAAAGAAACATAAATTTTGTATTTACAAGTATCAGGCACAAAAGAAACATAAATTTTGTATTTACAAGTATCAGGCACTATGGTTACAGACATGTCGGTTAACAAGCATAGATTTATGCAGTTTACTATGAAACTGTATGTCCATTTTGGTGAAAACTGCTCAGAGGTTTCTATTTTCAGCTCACCTGGAAAGTGATCCTTACCTCGAATATAATATGGGTTTCCTGTTCTGTTATGCTGAGTTTCATTTTCTTGGGGCCAATGCACACATTTGTGCTTTAAGTTACCCATGAAGAGTCCCATCCCAAAGAGAGAAAATATGCTTAGAAAAAGCAGAGTTAGGCTAATGGCACCAATAAGTTTCTTCAAGCCATGAATCAAGGTTCCTACAAGAGAGTTTAAACCTGGAAAGATAAAAGCATGTTTTGGATAAAATAGAAATTTCAGTAAAGCCAAACTTGTGGCAAACCTCTCCCATGACAAATGCATTCCATCGATATCAGCAGATCTATGTCACATAAAGTCAAACCTCTATCTAGGTCAAACAAATATGTGAATAGAAGTTAAACTTTGAAGTTTCTCTATGATTTCTAATTTATAATGTCCAAATGAAATAGTTAAGATAGTTAAAACATGTTGTTGTTTTTTTTTCTTTGACTCTTCAAAGCAATCTATTGTTTCCTGGTACTACTTGTCATACTAACCATTAGTGTTGATAAACAAAAGCAAACAAAACAAGTCATAAAGCCAGATGGTTGAAAAGTTCAACAAGACATCTTGAAGTTGCGGTATCCTACACTATTCTTTATAAGAATTTGATGTCTAGAGATCATTAAGTAAACATTGTGACAAAATGTTAATGATTCAGAATAAGAATAATACAACTGAACTGTAGGCAAACTATACCAGAGTTCTTACTAAAAATCCAAGTACATAATGGATTTAATTGTCAAATAATAGGCTAAATTCTGAAAACAGACAATAAACAAAAAAGTAAAAACATAAAGCAATTGTGTATCTTAGATGAAACTATTATTAATATTTCATTGCATAAATTTCTTTCTCACATCCTCTTTCTTTTCTTCCTTTTTTCTTTACCTTCCCTCTTGTCCTTCCTCCCTCCCTCCTTCCCTCCCTCCCTCTCTCCCTTCCTTCCTTCTTTCCTTCCTTCCTTCCTTCTTTCGTTCCTTTTTGTCTTCCTTCCTTCCTACATTTTCATCTTTCCTTCTTCTATTTCCCTTGTTCTCCTATTTTGTCATCTATGAATATTTAAGACATTAAATGTATCAATGTATGAGAAAACATAGCTGCTCTCTGATATTGAGCAATTTGTCAATATATTTACACCTGTTTATATATTTATAACAAAAATAAACCTCTTTCATATATTGTTAGAATTACATCTTTTCTTTACTTTTATTTACTTTTTGCAGTACTATGTTTTGAACTCAGAGCTTCATGATTTCTTTTTTCTTTTTTGTACATTTTTTATTTTGAAAATGTTGTACAGAGGGGTTACAGTTACATGAGCAAGGTAATGAGTACATTTCCTATCAAGCATTGTTGCCTCCTCCTTTGTTTTGAACTTCATGATTTCTTGAGTCACAACTTCTCTAGGCTTCCTTTACACCATGTATTTTTTTCTTTTTTCTCATTTTATATTCATTAGGGTATTGAAATTAGCGTCAAAATTTTCATCTTAAAACTATGGTATTTGCCTATTTTATTGTCTTCTTTTGCTCTTCTGCTTGAAAGAGTCTGAGTTTTCTTTCATTGAGACTGTAAAACAATTTCTTTTCCTTGTTCTTTTCCTATGCACATCTTCTAGTAAGAGTAATAATGACATTCTTAAAATAATATGTTTCTCTATGTTATTTACAAAGTATTTTTATATTATAGTCCCAATTTCTGGCATGTACTTGTTTATTCTCCTTTGAACAAAAAAGCAAGTGGTGTTTATCAGCCTGTTTGGTCTCACTCTAGATGTATCTCCTTATATTAACTTTACTGGATTTCATTTATAGTCTTTACATCTGGTCCTAAAACAATGTTGCATGTGTTTCAAGAGCAAGTTTATGCTCATAGATTTTCAGGGCATGGAAAGGAGTTACAGCAGGAGCTACTTTTCCCCAAGTTACTGATAATTCACTGGATTTGGTCAATCTCCCAAACTGCAGAGCATTACTGCTAAACACATTTGTTGAGATGTTAATACAAAATCCTAAAATTAATCTGCTCAATGCATTTAATACAGTGTTTAAAGATATTAATATGTTATGAATCCATTTCTACATTCTCAATCTGTTTTTCCCAGCCTGAATTCCAGCTACATACTTGGTATCTCTACTTTTCTTTGTCATTTTCCATGCTGAGAAACTTGCTTAAAGGCCTTGTTTTGGTGTCAGTACATTCATTGTTTTGTGCAGTCATTTCAAACTACTTCTAAATTACAACAGTCTAAAGACTCTCAATAAAGTTTTTTTCCTGATTTTCGTTTCCTATACTGGGGATTGGAACTCAGGATCTTGTACTGGCTAGGTAGGTGTCTATCACTTGGATCACATCCCTAGCCTTTATCTGTTTTTAATGTTTGGGAACAATAAAATAGATATTAGCTGTTGGTATGTATGAGCCAGGAAAGAATGTTGTACCAAGTGCTCCACAACTTTTGTTACTATGCATACAGCTTTCTGCTTCATTTGTGAAACATCTGATCTTTGTAGCATTGCATCTGACCCAAGCACTGAACACAAGGACATTTGCTTTATAATTTTGTTCATTTCACTATATTGCTTGATACAATGAGGAAAGCAATGAGAAAAAATAGATACCTGTCCATACTATTTCTCTAAAATTCCAAAGGAACATTTTATAATTTCGTATTTAATATGTAAAATAAATCATTAATAACAAAAGCATAACTGAATAATTTATATTTTGGATAGCAAAACTATTGAATCCACACAACATAAATAACCATCAATGACTTTTTCTTGCCATTCCTACCTTGACATTAAAAGAATCAAGTGATTCATAGGTTCAAAGTAGAAACATTCTATAATTTTACATTTTCTCTGAGAAACAAGAGAGTTCAAATGAGAAGAGTACATGGGAACCATCTAAAATAATGAGAAGAAATCCAATGCCACTTCTTACCTTGGTTTAAAGGAATAACTTTCAAAATTCTCAAACTTCTTATAGTTTTAAACAATGGAGTGTGGTTTGGAAATGAATACCTGGTCATAAGTCTGCAGAAGTAAAAGTGAATTATTTAGAAGTCATATTGAAACTATGCTACTAATCTTTGGCTTTCAGGACTCTTAAAAGTTGTTTTAATTGTATATCTAAATATTTTCCTTGACAGAATTTGCTACTAATCAGTTAGTTAATAATCTACAACGTGAATACATAAATGTACAACACTATACTCTAAATTCATTACCAAATATGGTATCTTATGTTCATAAACATATTGTTTATGAAAACAATACAATATTATTGAAAAGATGGTTAATATTTAAAGGAAAACAGTACCTGAGTTTTATTAAGAATGAAGTTCATCTAACATATTTTCTCTTTAATTAGTGATGGCAATGCCAGTACTCTTTGCCTATGGTACTTGAGTCAAAATGTAAGATGCATACATACTAGATATGTGACAAAGGACATTTGCCTACTCTTTCTTTCTACAATTGCCTTAATTTCCTCTGTAAAACAGAGACATGACTTCTCAACTCTGAGGCTTTTACTGTGAAGGTCTTAGAGTAAGCATAGAGAGTCACAATAAATGCTAAGTGTTAGTTAAATTACCTTAAGTGTTAACTGGAAGACCCATGAACAGAACTAATAGTAGTAATCATAGAAACAGTAACAATAATTACAATGGCATTAGCCTTTTTTTTTCTTTTAATTGGTTATGGGGCTTTAATTCTGGGCCTGTGCACTGTCCCTCAGCTCTTCAGCTCAAGGCTAGAGCTTTACCACTTGAGCCTCAATGCCACTTCCAGTATTCTGGTGGTTTATTGGAGATAAGAGTCTCACAAACCTTCCTGCGTGGGCTGGCTTTGAACTGCCATCCTCAGATCTCAGCCTCCTGAGTAGCTAGGATTACAGGCATGAGCCACGGCGCCCAACGTATTAGCTATTTTTAAGTAGTCATACTATGGCAGTCATTGCCTATACTGTTTTAAAAGAGTATATTTTTTAAATAATATAAAAATTTACAGGGTATCTTTTAAAATTATTTTAACAGAAATTTTATATCACTAGTCATTTCCACATATAAAACAGAATACAAAAGGGAAGCACTGAAATAGTAAGCATGAAGTAATTGTTTCATGTGACAGTACGTAGAATGTGTTTTTAAAATACCTTAATTGGATACTTATATCATCGTAAGAGTATAGCTTAATGAAAGGTTTATTAAGAACTGAGAGCAAAATATAAAGGATCCACAGCTAAAGGTTCAGGGAATTTTTCACTTAAAAAAAGAACTTTAAGACAAAAAAACGGAATATATTCCTTTCATTTTTATCTCATATTTTAAAGTTTATAAACAGCTTCCCGAGATTCTATATGAATATCACTTATGAAATAATTTTTAATCTTTGAATTTTACAAGCAGAATTCTTTGTAGATATTTTTAACAAAAGAGTAAGATGTTGCAACTTGAAGAAATACCCACTCAAATGAAGTTACACTGAAATCCAGCCAGTTCCATAGATCTCCAAGGAAAGAAAAAGGTCCTGCCCAAACACCCCTGGCAATGATTTTTATAAGTACTTCAAATGTGTAAATTCCAAGCAAAGAATTCCTGCAGAAAAAACATAATTTCATATAAACATTAAAAGTGAGAACAATATATTGTGAACACTAAAATACTATGTGTTAGCAATTATTTGGTATTTGAAAATAAGTCATTAAAAGGATTTTCAAAATGTCTGTTTGGTAGGCTAAAGTAACAAATCATCAACATATCGGCAATGATAAAAATACAAGGGCCAAGGAACCTGAGCTTAGAGCTTTAGATAGCACTTCCAGCATGACTAAGTCTTGTGGCACCAGCCATAAAATTTCACTAACAAATGCTATCAAAATGTCCTCACTCTGAAGTGAGATCCTTTCAGTATTATTTGCTTAAGTAAGTAAGAATAGCAAGTGTCCATTTTGCTTCACATGGGATTACACAATAATTGATAAAGGGGAAATGCAAGGTCTAACTTTATGGATACACAAAGAATTTTTGGTGAATCAGTATCAGCGTAGCCTCTCAAAGTCAACTAATTTTAAGAATCATTAAAGCTCAGGGGTTAGCTTCAAGAAAGCCTTCTTTTCTAGAAAACTCAATGGGCCTTTCCATTGCTGTAGTTTAATGAAAGTCTTAGGAAAGAGAAGAAAAGGAGACTAGAACTCTAATGGTTTCTTAATTGATAAGATTTTAATGAATAAGACTGATTTGAGTTAGAAGAATTCAGGTATGTGATCTCAAAGATTGAGAGTTGAGAGACTAAGGTGTTAAATGAATCAGCAACTAGGTTTGAAATAAAACCCCACTGGAAGATTACTTTGACCTCCACAGTTAGCTGAAGACTCTTATGTTAGTTGACTCTATGAAGAGCTAGAAGTATTTGAATTGTGACTAGGGCTTAAGAGCACATCCCTATGAAACCAGAACTTAGAAGACTGAGGCAGGGGAACACAATTAGGACAGCCCATGCTACATAGCAAGACCTGATTCAAAAAAAAATAAAAGAAAAAAGTGAGAGAGTATCTACGAATGGATTGAAGGAAAATTAAAATCGATGAATTGACATAGACTTACGAGTTTTATTTTGGGGAAAATTCACTTACTATACATATATATATATATATACATATACATATATATACATATACATATATATAAACATATACCTATGTTTTATATTCCAGAGATATATAATCACATGTGAAGTATACATAAATATTAAATTACATGATATTGTAATATGTAACACAATATGTAATTTTATGTTATTAAAATCTTAAAAACTAAAGTATAATTAGAGATGATATTAAACGTAATAAAATTATACAACTTACTCTATTGTTAGAACCCATTTTGGTGGGCTACTCAGGGTCATAATCATACCATCAGTGAGAACACTGATCAAAATTAACAACTGGAAAAAGGTAGGTTATAGTTAAGGAGATAAAAAGGTCATAAAAACATTAGACAACTACATTTTTGTCAGATTTATATAAATACAAATAACAAACATTTTCATAACTTATTTTATGATTCTCATTGATAAATCATGGAATTAATATTTGTTAAATGTACTTTTTTTGTGGGGGGGTCTGGTCATGGGGCCTGAACTCTGGGCCTGGGCGCTGTCCCTCAGCTCTTCAGCTCAAGGCTAGCGCTCTACCACTTGAGCCACAGCGCCACTTCCAGCTTTTTTCTTTTTCCTTATGTGGTGCTGAGGAATCGAACCCAGGGCCTCAGGCATGCAAGGCAAGCGCTCTACCACTGAGCCACCTTCCCAGCCCTGTTAAATGTACTTTTAAACATACAATACAGTCTATCTATTCCAACTCCAGGGTAATTTGAGTGAGATACCAATGGGAAAGCAAACATCTCTGCACTAAGAATTCAGTAACACAACAGTTGAATCTGGAATTGGCCGCATTTTCAACACAGAGGACAAACCCATCATAAAGGATATGGATGTACCAAGACCTTAACACTGGTTCCTCGGATAACATTGAAAGGAGAAAGTGTGCACAAGATGGAAGACGCATTGAATCTGAAGATTGTTCTCTTTTTATTTAATACAATGAAAGTCTATAAGAAGCAAATGAATAATCATTAATAATATCAATAATAATTTTGTATCAAATAAATCCAACCTCTATGGTAATAGACAATAAAATAATAGTAGTATTAATAATGAAAAGATGGAAGAGGAATTTATTCTAGACACTTTGCTGGTTTAAAATTAAGAACCTCAAATGGCTAGTTAATGTCCATAATGCAAGTAGTCTATAGTAAGGTGTACCAGTATATAAGGTAAAAAGTAAAACAACCAAAACAAGGTATACAGTCAGTCTGATGTCAATTTTGATAGAAATCTGAAATTTATTCCCAAATAAAGTATCTTACTCTTAATATAGTAGCCATTCACTTTTTGTGTCTTATCTCAATTACACTTATGCATGTTTGAAAAATAACAATGTATTCATAATAATTTCCACTAGTTCTCACATTTCTTTTTACATAGTAATAAGGGTCCACATCTTCCAGAGGCACTGACATCATTCCTTGGGAAAGATTTCCATAAGTAAATGGAAGCTTTTTGCCAACTTCCAAGTCTGGATTTGGTTCTAACTCTTCCTCCTCATGGTTGTCATGGTGCTTCTTAGCCATACGTTGTTTTATCAGATCAAGAGACTCTCTGGTGAAAGGGACAAGGCCCTTTGGTTTTGGCGACACCAACATTTCCAATTTTGTACCTATAAGAAATTAATTTTCTTCAGTTTAATGTAAAAGATGGGCTTTTAAAGAAAATATAAGTAATATCACATAAGGTTAGAATAAAAAGAAAATAGAGTACTCATTATCTTGCCCATGTATTTGTAACCCCTCTGTACAGTATTTTCACAGTAAAAAAATAAATAAATTATAAAAAGAAAATAGAAGCCAATGTCTAAATAAGTACATTTGAGGAACATCATTCTGAATTTTGTAAATAAAAATATTGTTCTGAGTTTAACTGTATTTAATGTTCTACCTTATAATTTTATGCTAGTTCAATTCACTTGCTCATTGCTTGAAAGTTTTGTTTTTCTGAACTTTGGCTTTCAAGTTTTCTACTGTAACAAAAGAGGTCAAAGGATGTGTTATCTTTAGTTTGATCAAATACAATTACTCTATGAGCTGTTCATTTGTAACTGTTTTTCTCTAAACAATCTTTGTTGTATACATTTACCCCATTCTTCTTTTTTATTTGTATATTTTGGGTTATATCCTTTGGTTAAATTTAGTATGTGTCATTTTGTCTTTAGCAGTGCTGATGATCAAACCAAGGGCCTGACACATGCTTCGAAAGTATTCTCCCACAGAGCTATAAAGTATTCTCCCACAGAGCTATAAAGTATTCTCCCACAGAGCTATATTACCAGGAATATGGGAAAATTTTAACCCAAGTTTTAACTTTGATACTTTTTAAAGTTTTACCTTTCTTTCTTTGTTATACTCAACTTTAATTTCTATCTCTGTATGAATATTTATCAATTATGCTGTGTATGATTTCCTGACATTATCAACAATTTAGGTCATGAAGGAGAAGTAGCCTAGTGGAAACAAATAAAATAAATAAGATCATGAGCTTTGGAGTTAGGAAGACTGTTCAAATTTCAAACTTTTGCTAATGTTCTGAGAAAACCAGGTTACCTATTACCTATTAATCTTGCATCTCTTTTGTCAGCCATAAAACTGGATTTCCTTTCTTATTTAAAAAAGACAGAAAATTTAAAATATGGGCAAAAAGTCAAGTAAATAAAAATCAATTGGCTTATAAATAGGTGCAAAATTAATGTTTCTGAGTGTGATAAGATTTAGTAGTGTAGAATAGTAGAGCAAATTTAACAGAAAAATATAAAATATATAAGACTTGGAAATTTAGACTACATAGGTACAATAGAGAAGGGATATGCTTTTGTGGCAGAGATAAAATGTCTGGGAAATCCTACTTAACATTAATTACAATACAAATACTACCAATCTATGTTCTGCCAAGAAAGGTAATATAATCTTAACCTATACTGACAGAAGTTGGAGGAGGAAATCTACTTGGTGCTAGATCATGAGCATGTACATATACTGGAATTTCATAAATTGGGACCAGAATATTGAGTTTAATAAAATGACAGGCAGCGCTAAGTTGAGGTATAATATTTATAATAGCCAGAACAACAACCAAAAAAATGATATAAGAGGAAACTTACTGTTTCAAAGTGTCTGAGTGATTGCCACATGGAAAAGAAATTAGACTCTCTTCTTAGTCACAAAAAAAGAATGACAATCAGTGAGTTGAAGGCAGGACCCATTTGGTTTGAGATAAGAGAAACTCTCAATTAGCTTTCAAAATATTAAATATGTTGATTGGGGATTAAATCATTCTCTTAACTAGCAATGGGAAGTATGAACTCATGGAGTGTTCATTGACATGATTGCAGTGGATACAAACATTCATTGTTTATATCAGTAACCTGTAATTTGGAGCTTTCCAATGTTAAAGTCCTTGTATTGAGTTAGTTGCACAGTACCACAGGATCTAAAAATTAGAAGTAAAGCATTGGTGAAATTGTGCGGTAGTGATTTAATAAAATTTTCCCCACAGAAGGAAGTGTTATATCTTTTTTTATTGTGCATTTTTTTTTGTTTTCTTGATGTAAAGTCTCATTATGCTGCATAGGCTGGGCCTGATCTCCCAATCCTAATTTGTAGAGTGGTTGGAACTTTAGGAGACAACCACCAAATTTGTCCTTCACATAATTTTTGTTTCTGTTAATTCTACATAGCCATTGTGAAGACTAAAACACATTGTTAAGCTTAGGCATGTTAAAAATATTGTTATTAAAAGCAGATTTAAAGAATGGTTTTAAACTTATTGCAAAGATGATCCCTTTAATGGAAGCAGTCTGTCGTTCATTGAAACTTCAAGATTCAAAGATTCAAGTTTTCAGTGTATCACTTCATTGAATAGTCTAAATATAATCTTAACTTTCCCTTTTTCCACTCCACCCTTTGATGCTTGTTATTCACTAGCTATGAGACCTCAATAACATCACCTGAGATTAATTTTCTTCATGTGTATCATTTAAAATCATTTATATATTTCAAGATGCTGTAAAGAATAATTCAGACAATACAGAAATCCTGGACCACAGTAATGCCTTCCTCAAAACTCATTTTCACTCCCAACCACATTCATTTATTCCAGATAACTCTTTCTGTGATATTTTGATGTTGAATAAAATTACCCCGAATTGTTGACTTAATGGCTAGCAGTCATTTGTTTTCCATAACACAGCAAAGCAATGCAAGCATTTATCAAATGAAACTGGCACACATCTGACTTTTAGATGGCTGAGTGCAGACTATAAATTATTAATCATTAAGTCATAATTCAGTAAAAGCCTTTCTTGAGGGAATTTATATAATATGGTCCAGGCACTATGCTTTCCGGAGAGCTATCTTAATACAGCATTAAAACCTGAAAAACACAGAAAGATTAATAGTTAATCTGTCCATTAGAGTGATTTTCCAAAGAACTGACTAGAAAAAGTAAGCTTTTGGCAACAATTATACTCACTTCATACTTGGACTTGAACATATCCAGTTTTAGCAATATTTTATATTGTTAACTGAAGTGAAAGACATTTATCTTGGAAATCAGTTGGAAATTGTAGTACCAGCAGACAGTTGGGCTGAAATCTTATAGAAAAGAAATTATCCTTCCCAAATTTCAGATTGGAATATGAGCCGACATTTATCATTATATTCTGATAGTTATAATTATTGTCACTCTTTCTGAGTAGCTATCATTTCTACAGCATAAAAGTAGATATTTTGAATTGTATTTTCTCATTTTTTCACATAATATTCTTGCGATTTTTATTTGGTTTATTAGGGGACAGGTTTGCTCAGTGTCTTAACTTCTTCATCATTGTACAGCTAGTTCAATCATGAAGATAAATTCAAACCCATTTGTGTTTAATCTAAATTTATATACCTTTAGAAAATATCACAAAATGAATGCAAAGAATAGTTTTTATAAAAAGTGTGAGCAATTGATATTTCGATGTCAACTGGATCAAGAACTTGGCCTACCAACTAAGTTAATGCTAGGTGATATTGTCTAGAAATTTTCTTTATGTGATTGGTACCAGAGTAAAATAATTTCTACTTTGTAAAATAGAAGATAAGTAGCATATTGAGCACCAATTTGGACATTACAAGATACTAGCTAAAATCCTAGGCCACTATCTAGATTGAGCACACTTGTATGGATAGTAGTAGCAGACTCCTGTGTAAGAACTAACACAGTGAGCCAGACAACACAAAAAATAACTAGCTGCTCATTCATCTTGAAATGATATGACTTTGGCCAAGCCAATCAAATCATTTAGCTCAAGACTTTGAACTTAGATCTAAAGAGATAAAGTAAGAGAGGTACAGAATCTGTTTTTGTAAGAAGCAGACACTTAGCAGCAGCTTGCAGTATTTTCTGGGAGAAAGGGTTGAGGGATTATGGGTGTTGCTCCAGTAGTCACTATTAATATCCACTCTACTGGCTTTGCCATTTGATAGATGTTGTGGTCTGAGCTGAAACTTAGTCCCTCTCAGACTTAAACAATATAAAGTTGTGTTTTAATTTATCCCATAGTGTTGATATTGTTTGCCATTGCACATAACCTGAAGCATTAGCCAATTATACAGTCTACAACAATTTGAGTTTATTTTAGAGTGGAAAATTTCAGGTTAATCGGTGACCAACATAGGGTGGCTTGTAGAAAATGCATTTTCTACTGGCATTTTACCAGTGGGGGGGTGGGGGGCATTATTTTCCTGTCAGTCATGTTAAAGTTTAGCCCCTAAATGACACATTTTCTCTTGCTACAATTTCCATAGAATTTGACAATGCCATATAGCTCAAATGTGTATGGTTTTACTTTTCTTGTACAGCATGTTGTAGTCCTAGAATTCTCTGCATTCTGGCTATGCTGGGGGGGGGCGTTGGTAGACAGAGTTTTGTTTTGTACTCTGGGAGGAATATATAGAATGATTCAGAACTAGATCGTTCCCATCATTCTTCTTCATATATGTGTCTCTGTCCAAATGCATTGTTAAAAATAGAAGTAAGTGTTGACAAGAAATAATCTATCTCCTAACAGCTTTATTATTTAAAAAAATCTTCATAGTTTATTTCTAACTTTATATAAAGATTATGAGTTTTTGTAAAAGTTTATGACATCTGGGTTATATCACTGAGTGTCATTCATAAAGACAATGTGCAAATGGGAAAATTCTAGTTCAAAGGTCAGGAAAGAAAGACTTATTTGGTTTCAGATGTGTGAGATACATTTAACCATTTCAAAGCAAAGAGTTAGAGATTAAGTTAAAATATGTATCTTTACGTTGAATATATTACATATTAATATACACATAAAATATGTTTATATATAAAATATATTTATATATACATAGGAATTTTATGCATCTTTATGGTAAGTGGATAAAGAGTTGTATGGATACATATGATAGCTTTAACTAACAGATAATGAAGTATTTGCAAATTTTAAAGATTTGGGATTATGATTTTAACATTTTTTGAAAAATACCCTTATAAAAAATTTTACTTTTTAAAAAGTACCCTTAAGGGAAGGGGTATACATTACCTTACTTATGTAACTGTAACCCCTCTGACATCATTGTTAAAATAAAATTA